GAGAGAGAGAGAGAGAGAGAGAGAGAGAGAGAGAGAGAGAGAGAGAGAAGAAAAAAAGAAAAATATGCTTTAGCTATTATAATATAATATATTCATTAATTATGAACAATGGAACAATAGAACGTGACGTTTCGCGTTAATGAAAGAACGTGTTCTCGAAAGTGATAATCGTATCGTATCGGTTATTAAAATCTCTGTCGCCCCTCATTTCTATTTTATCGATTTAATTTTTATCATACGCGATCTATTAATCCGACTATGTTATCTCATTTCGAGTTAGATAATTCTTAGTTTCTTAATTTTATTGTAATTTATTAAATGTCGTTTCGTTATTATATTTCTATCTTCTCTTTTGCTGCAGTAAATTCTGTGGAAAGTGGCTGAAAGACGAGGTCGTCTAGAGAGGACTGCTCGGAATCGAAACTATCGGAATAAACGTGGACATCGTTGTTGTGAAATCGTTATTTATTTATTTAAATCTATTTGAATAATTTCGTGATTGTACGCGCATCCGTGAAAAAAAAAAACAATTAATTGGAATTTTCAGACAAAATGTTCAGACGAAATTCCATATTGTTAAATTCAACGAATCGAGCAATCGAGCTCGGTCCAATTGTAAATATTTATTTAATTGGAAATCTCATAAAATGAGACAACAAAATGTACAATGATCACAAACGCACATTTTTGCACACATTTTTATACTCTCATTACGGCGATGGTTTATGTACTTACCGCATAATCATTTAGAATAAACACGCACACATCGATCCGTTGTTGAATATTTATGAATGGCGAATGAATCACTCATGCTGTTTTGACTAAAATTTTAAAGCTGAGGAATAATATCTTTTCAACGTCATCGTGTTGTAGCCGGGGCAACGATAATTCGATACCAATACGCGTTGTTCGTGTGCAGGCCGTATCCACGTTCTACCTCCGCCGATAATTTTACGAAAATGGAGAATGTCGGTTTGGATAATTACTAGAGAGTATCGGCATGTGTTTGTTAACGTTAGCCATTGAATAATAATTTTACCTGGCTAGCCACGGAATCGAATCGAAGGGTTCAAATAAAAATGTCGATCCGTGGTTACCGATCACGACACTCGCGTTTATTTACGTGGAACGTGTCACTGTTTCGTTTAATAGAATATCCATGCATGGGTCGACAAATTGATCGCAAAATTTATCATATTATTACGGAACGATGGAAAACGCGACGCTTTCCGACTCGTTTCGTTACGACATCAAAATAAAATTGTTGATAATATGTTTCATCCACGATTCAATCCACGCGCACTGGCCATTCGAAAATTCCGATAAAATTTTATTTTTCCCCGAAGTTATTGTATACTATTAAATCTTTGATCAATAGTCAATTTGCTTTTCGAATTCCTTTTTTATTCATGAAAGCAATAACGCTTAGCGAAAGTAAATCGTTTCGAAATTAGATTAAAGGATTAAAATTTGACTTACGTTTTATCGTTGCGATTCAATTTTCTCCAACATCATGACTCATTCAACGTTACATCCATCCAGATGTAATCAAATTTTATCACCATATCACCAATTTCATAAGCACTCGATTCCGTTTCATAAGGAACTATGTATCATTCTCGCATTCTGCAATTTAATTTGTAAAAGTATACTTTACATTGGTATTTGTAATTATTACACAGAGTTACTAAAAAGAATATTCTTATATTTACTTGTGAAACATGATATTCATCAAATTTCAAAATTTAATACACAATGAATTGGATGTAGTAATTTTTCAAATAATAAGAATTCGAATAAACTGTTGAAATTTTTAATCTTAGAAAAATAAGTGAGACAAGTAGAAGCAATCGAGTAAATATTAAAATCATTTATGGGACTATTAAAATTTCTCATCAAATCTTGCAAAGCAGGTATAGACAAAGAAAGTGAGCACAAAGAAAAGAATAGGAATATAAAAATTGTGAAAACGCAATCTGCATAGTGCGGCAAATGAAACACATAGAAAAAAGATAGAAGATAGAAGGAGCAAGATAGAGAGAGGCTTATAAAATTCATCAGCGCCATCTATTGAATGTCAAAAATATTTCTTTAAAAGAACAAGATAAAAGAATTGAACATCTTACCTCTTGAGTATTAAAAATATCTTTTAAAATATTTCTAAAATTAATCGAGAGATGGCGCTGAATGTTAAGTCTATCGTTTTTGATGCATTAGTGTAAAATATAAAATTAAATGATTATGTAAAAAAAAAAAAAAAAAATAACAACAAATCAGAACGAACATAAACTTTCAATTTCTTGCAAATACAAATTTTATATACATTTTTAGAAAAAAAATATGCATCATTTAAATAATTCGGTTTCATGAAATAAAATTGATTATAACAAACTTTTTTTTATTTTAATATTGCTAAAAAACCAATAGAAAACCATTCCTCATATTTTTGTTAATATAAATAAAATTACTTACTTGTTTTACAGAAAATCATTTGATTATTCGACTTATATCAAATTTATTAATAATGCATTTCTAATCGTTATAAATCATTACGACAACAAAATCATTCTGACAATTAAACAATAATTTATAAAAATAAATATCAAAGATATAAAATAAATGTATAATATTAAAATTACAATAAAGTAATATCCAATTTCAAATTCTGTTTCGAAATATTTCGATATAAAGAAACTATTGATGACGCAACAGATAAATGAACGATCGAAGAACAAAGAAATTTAAAAGATTAATTACTTTCGTTCACTATATTCAATGTATTAATAAATTTGATAATAAAGTTAATAATAATTGATAAATTTGGTAAGAATAAAAATAAAATAACTTACCCCGTAAACCAAGGTACGTGTCACGAGTCAGTAATGCGTCACGTTGTGAGAATTTCCAACCGAAAAATGACAGGATCAGCGTCATCTAGAAGCGCTCTGATTGGGTAAAGCAGAATGCTTTCTTATTCGTTCAAAATCGCGCCGAAAATTGAAATATATAATATATATTAATTATTAATATCAAAGTTTTGCAAAATTTATATTTAAAAATATAACAAATTTATTAAATTTAATTTAACAAAATTAAGTATAATTAAGTAAGAAATGTTATAATAATAAGTTGTACAATTTAATATGAATATTAATAAATCTAAAGTGAAACATAAGAAAGAAATTTAACAGAAAATATTTATAAAAAAAGAAAACATAAAAAAATTTAAATATATTTAAAAAAAAAGCTAAAGAATAAAAATAATTAAATATAATAAAATTAAAATTTAAGAATTCAATTTTAATTGTTAAATAAATTATAAAAATCTGAAACATCTGAAACATAAAAAAATAATATAATATAAAAATCAATCAGTTAAAATTAATACATATATATATATATTAAATATATAATAACTTTCCTCTTAATCATCATTTTTCTTCTTTTGTCACTATTTTTTGAAATTTCCTTCTGATTTTCTTTCATTCCTATTTTCATCTTTTACTTATCATTATTCTTTTTCTTTGCCATTTTCCTTTCTCATCTCTTGCTATCCTTTTTCTCCCATTTTCTTTGTCCTTTTTCTTTATTATTCTTTGCTTTTTTGCTATCTTGTTTTGTTATCCATATATACCATCTTGTTTTGTATTTTTCTTTTCTTGTAACTTTCTTTGATCAGCCTTCTTGCTCATCTTTTTTGTTATTACAATCTTCTTTGTTATATTCATCTCCATCTTCTTTGAAATTCTTCTTTTTACCAAGAAAAAGAAAAGAAGAAATTAGAAAAAAAATAAAAAAGATAAAAATAAGAATAAAAAGAATTTGTAAAAATAGAGAGGAAAAGGAATTGATAAATGAAAGGAAGAATTGGTGAAATTGAAAAGGAGGACAAATTAATAAAAAAATAGAAAGACAGGAGTTAATAAAGAATGATAGAAAGAGAAATCTATAAAAGAGGGGGGAAAGAATTATAATAAAAGACAGGAGAAAAAGGAATTTATAAAAAAGGAGAAGGATGACAAGAACATGAAAGAGATGGATAACAAAAGAAAAAAAAGACTAAGGAAGAGAAGAGAAAATGACAAAGAAGATAACTAACAAAGAAGAATGATGATAAAAAAGGCAGAGAATGATAAAGAAGTATGGAGAATAATAAAGGAGAGAAGAGAATAAAAGAGAGAAATACATAAGGATGAAAAAGAAAGAACAACAAGTTGAAGCATTTAAAAGTAATATAACATAAAAATTAATTAAATCAAAAAACACATTAGAAAGAATTTGAATAAAATACAAAAAGAAAAATATATATAAGTTAAATAAATCCAAACAACATGCAAAAAATAATTGAATACATATGTTAATTATATTGAAAAAATAATTATTAAAAAAATATAACATAATAATTAATTAAATCCAAGAAAACTATAACATATAAGAAAAAAATTTAACATTATAATAAATAAATAATAAATAAATATAAAAATATAAAAAAAATCAATTATTATAAATTAGAGAAAATTGTATATAAATGCATAAAAAAAGAATTTAACTTAAAAGTTAAGAATTTAACTTAAATCAAAAGAAGTCAGAACATAAAAAAAAAGAATTTAAGACAAATATTAATTGAATTATAAAGAATATACAGAAAAATAACTATAACATAAAAATTAATTAAATTTAATAAAACTGCAACATGTAAGAAAAGAATTTAACTAAAGAATTAGCAATTTAAATAAATTTATAATGAATAAATATAAAAATATAAGTAAGAAATGTAAGTTATAACTACAATTAGAGAAAATTAGAGAAAAGTAGAGAGAAAAGAGAAGCATAGAAGAAGAACTTAACCTAAGGAAAGAAATCAAAAGAGATTAAAACATAAAAAAAGAGATTAATTCAAAATTAAAATAAATGTTAACTGAATTATACAAAATATACATAAAAGAAAAAATTTAACATAAAATTTTCAATGAAAGAAAAATTTAATATAATATAAAATTTGTAAATTGTAAATCAAAAGTTATAAATTGAAAATTTATAACTAGATTAAAAGTTAACAAACTAAATATTATACATTTTTATAATAATTATTGCTTAAATATCTTATAAAAAAAAGAATTAATAATTTATTAATTGTTATAAGAGAAATTAAAGTTGTAAAGACAAAAATATACTTTCAAACATATTGTAATTTAATTTGATTATTGTGATTAATAACATTTATATGTTATGAATATTTAATAAAGAACCTTCTCATTATTTCAATCTATCTTAAAAAAATTATAATTTAAATTTCAATGTTATATGATAAAAAAATAATTTTTTTGCTATGACTTTCTGATTTATTTTTCTATTTAGTTAATTTCTATGTTCAATGTCTTTATTATATTTCAGTCTTATATTATTAAAACAGCTTTAAAGGAAAATTTTCAAATCAAAATTTCCAGAACAAATATTTAACTGTATTATAAAATAATTAATAAATTTTATGCCATATTATATTGTATAAAAATTTAAAAAATTTTTAAAATGTGAAATTTTGAAATATTAAAAGTATGAATTAAAGATTATGTAAGAATTATATATTATATTTTTAAGTTAATATTTGATTTGATAATAATCAACTATTTATATTTGATTATTATTTATTATTATAATTTAATTAATGAACTCTATTTTAGATATTGATTTGAAATTTGATTTCTATATAAATTGATTATTGATATTGATTATTGATATGAAAACAGAAAAGTTTCAATATGAATAATAAAACAATAAAGTTAATTTTTTGTAATTAAAATATAATTAAGATATATTATGCAATATTTATTTTAATTTTCGCGCGGATTTGAAATAAGGAACCGCGCAGTTCTAGCCAATCAGAAAACTGTTAAGAATTAACCATAAAATGAATTAGTGCGCATTGTAGTGCGCATAGCATCAGTCTACAGTTGAAAATTGTGGTGACAGGTTGTGTTTTATCAGTTAAGGTAATTACGTGAAATTTTCATCTATATTATATTATTATTAAGTTTAAGTTAAGTAATTGTGGATTATTAAATCTTATTTAATCAATACGTGCTTGTTTATTGTACCATAATTGAACAGTGTTATGATAAATGTACGTTTCCTTCCGACTATTCATTTATCTATTAAGTCACTAATAGTTTTTCGTATCGAAATATTTCGAGAAAAAACTTGAAACCAGATATTATTTCATTTTGATATTAATTATATTTATTTTACATTGATCTTTATTTTTATCTTTTTAATTTTCTTTTATTGAAGTAAAAGAAGTTAATTTCATTTCGTAAGATCGAATTATTTAAATGACGCATTTTGTTTCTAATTATATATATTCCTATGTATAATAGTTTCGCGTATTGTTTTCTTTTGTCGACATTTTGCTCGAGATTGAAAACATTTCTTATGTTATGCTTTCAAGAACGTGGCGTATCCCCTCTCCAATTTGTCGTTCGAATCGAGTCGCGAAATACCATTATTTGTCGACAAGTCGTGATGATTAGACGTTTGAAATTTTCTCGTGATGTGTATTCAATTCGTAATTTTCTTATCGTTCATGCTTTTATTTAATTAATTATTAATAAATTATTTTGATTTCTTCATTTCATCATACAATTTGATAGAAATTACTTTAATTTTATATATTTTCTTCGTTTATTTCGAAGTTTTGATTTTCTTTTGCATAGGTTTAATTGTAGTGTCATGTCTCTCGAAGGCGGGAAAAATTCCAATATGGACGTAATATCTGTTCTTGGAGATGCAGTAAAATTTGACATTTTGTATGTATATACTTTTATTTTATTAGATCATTTGTTATTAAATAATTCATAATGAACTTATATTTTAATTAAAAGAAATAGAAAAAACTAAAAATTTATGAAAAATTTTGATAGTTTATTACTAGAAAGTGAATTTTAAATTTTAATAATGAACATTTTAAATATTTATAAAAAATTTTCATAAATATTTTTTATTTATAATTCATTAATCAATTAAATTTAAAATAAAAATTTTAGAATACATATTTTTAGAATACATATTTAATATTGGAAATAAGAAAAATATTACTTTTTCTTCTATCTTTCATCTTTTTATTAATTTAATATTAATTTCAGAAAATATCAAGACTGTGTGCAATGTGAATCAAATCAGTGTTAAAATTAGTATCTTTATATATCATAGTTAGTGTTTTTTTTTAGAGCAAATTTCATTAAAATTTAATCAAGGTACTCAAATGCAAAAGTAGAGTCAGTGTTTAGTAAATTATTTTATAAATTAATTTTATAAATTAGTAAAATCAGTGCATGAAGAACGTAAGATCATCCATCACGCGAAGAGGTAAACTATCTTTTATTCTTTTTAAATTCTTAAATGCTAAATTTTTATATTAAAATTTTAATTTTTATTTTTATTAGAATTTCAATATTATATCATTATTACATATTGTAAATTTAGTAATTTGATATTTAATCATTTCAATTTTTTCAAATAATCAGAATGTCTTTTAAATTATGTTATTTTTGTTTTGTTACAGATTTTTGCTAACTTTCATCCTTCTATCTGATAACAACTTTCTTCTCAATAACTTCTGTGCCATAGCAGTGTTCGTCGCATCTATTGGTGAGTCGCATGCATTTATGTTCCTCCGGTCATTCAATCATGTCGTAGGATGAAAGAATCCGAATCGACACGGGTGATTGGTTGTATACGTAGATTTTTGCACGAGCACAGTGACCATTGGTATTTATTTATAATACCAGTGAGTAATAACATTTATTTCTTCTGTTTTATTTATTAGTTCAGGCCAGGGTCTTCTTGTGCTTCATTTTTTTAAATAATGTTATTAGCAATTTTCTAATAGTAAAATATATATATATATTAATAAAATACAATAATTAATTTAAATATAATTTAAAATACAATTATATATGAATAATAAATAATACAATATAAATGATATAATGAATACTTAACTTGCTAACTTGAATTTAATAATGGAAAAGTCGGATATCCACCGACTTCATTACAATTATTACATGCACAGTTTATTATCATTAATACGAT